GTTTGAGCAGTGAGACAGGCTCTCAGAAGGGTAGGTCATGCCGCTCAGCTCAAACCACAGCCTACGGTGCACATACTGCTGCAGCAGAGGGTAGATCATAAACATGGCAAACGCATACAGGTCAACCGCCGGCTCGATCAGAAGCACACGTCCCATCCCACTTCCTGCTCTACACCGGCAAAAATAACAGGAGAGGTGCTTGAGAGGACATAAAACAATTCAACCAGTGACAAAAATTACAGTAAGAGAAGAGTTTAATCCTTTATTATAAATATATAATAAAAAGCCTTTTAATTATAAATAGATAGATTTGGTGATTCTTACCTGCAAGTTATGATAAGAGAAATCTTTCCATATTTAAAGCATTTTGTTCCTTCTTCAAATCCACTTGAAACGTCACAGGACACAGCAAACTGAAAGATCACTCAATAGCATGTTGTGTTCCGATCTGATTATTCATTTGCGACTTTAGAGCCTGTAAGACAGAGACTTCCACTCCTAACATATGTTTGTCAAGACTACAAATCCTCAAAGGAACACACACCCTCAGAACACGAATGTGTGTTTGCGTATCACAAAGAAGGAAGGAGTGGAAACTAGTAAAGAGGAGTTTGGAATACAGTAGGTACAAAATGTATTTGGACACTCCAGTCACATTTAAAAATGTTAGAAGGTCATCGTATCTGATAAAATACCAAACCAGTTGGCATTTATTTGAAAGAAATAAAGCACCTATACTTTTGAAGTTTGTCAGTATAATTTGACAGGCAACATTCTCAGCACTTTGTATTACATTCTGGCAAGGTGAATAAACTTTCCTCCAGTAATGTTAATAGAATGTTCATTCAAAATAGGGCTGTCAAATCGATTAATCGTGATTAATCACATCCAAAATAAAAGTTTGTGTTTACATAATATATGTGTACTGTGTATATTTGTATGTAAATATAAAAACACACATATACATGTATATATTTAAGATTATATATATTTAAATATACACTGTATATATATTCATATTTATACAGTATATGTATATATTGTTATATATAAATATATATTACATAATTAAATATACTTCAATACATGTGTATTTATATACATATAAATAAACAGTACGCATACATATATTATGTAAACACAAACTTTTATTTTGGCTGCGATTAATCGCGATTAATCGATATGACAGCCCTAATTCGAAGTTATCAGGTCTTTAATAACATTCCCAAATCGTTTTGGACTAAAAACATTTGACTAAAACATTTTAGTTTAACCATTCATCTGTTTTTTAAACATCACTACTTTCAGATGATTTCGACTCGAGAACATTCAAAAGTAACATTCATTCATTAAATGAAAAAATGGTTTTTAAACGATTCAAAAATTTGATTTTTTAAATGTTCAGAGAACATTCAGAAATAATGTTTTAAAAACTTGAAGGGAATGTTAGTAAAACATTCTAAAAACATATTTTTGTTAGCTGGCTAATGATAACAAATAAGCAAAAAAGCACATGAGCATTTTCTTTTGAAACATTTTAATATTCATCCCCACCCCCCCATAGTGAATACAAATGAGTTATATATGAATTCTTTCCATTCCTTATATTTTCTATGCTACAGTTACAGCGTGAATCATCACAAGTTGAAAACGTACAAGGGGAAGGAATGATCCATCCAAGACAAACATGCATCGATTACTGTGCACTACAACACAAGAAATAGCTTACAAACGACTGTAAATCCAGTCAGAAAAGACATAATAGAAGTCAAATGTTAGTAAGTAGACAGATGGACAAATTTCATTCAGTCCAATAAGTGACTCCACCACTCCCAGTTTACTTTGACTGTGTCAGTATTTTCAGGGGTAAGTTAACATTCAGTAGTTTAGATGTCCACAGGACAAAGAGTCAGTGTGTCTTAGAACAGGATTCTGTTGTTTCATATCATTCATTATAATCTATGGACTAAAGCCATAGTGAAGGTCATCTTGAGGGCCATAGAGAAAACAAAACAGGATTTAAGTATACAATTAAATACATATTTACTAAATGTAAATGTAAAAATGTAAATGTAGATTAGTAACAATTTTGCACTTTGTTATAAACCATAGCAGGTGCAGATTGAGGTTGCTGAGGTTTTTTGTTGAGACATTAATTTAGAACATAAATACACAATATGAAAAAAGTAAAATAAAATTAAAATGGAAAATGAAATTAAATACTAGTAAAATCAATCTAGTTTTAAAAATAATTCTGTAAAAAAATGAAATAAAACGAATAAAAAAGCAAACAAATATTTAAAAAGATGCATTTATTTTCTTGTATTAAACCAGATATTACCTGTTTGTTAGGTGGCTATAATGTAATAACCTTTTCATTTTTGCTACTTTGCACAATAAATGAAGGCACATTCCTGAAACATTTATATACTTCTTGTCGTGAATCAAAATGATTCAGAATTTAAGACAGGTTACTAATGTAAAATGATCTGCTGTTGTTTAATTAAATGTGTTATTTTAAAAAACACGCTTTAAAATATTTAACTTTTTTGGGTGTGGTATATAACTGTATTGTGCTTGACAGGAAACATCCAGAAAAGTAGCAAAAAATGAACAACAACAAATCATTTCTATCTCAGAGACAGAAGCCAATGAAATTAATTCAAAATGCAAAGCTACATAATTTGAAAATGCATTAGAATTAGAATAAAAATACATTTCACAGTAATTAAAAAAATTTAACTGTAAACAATAGTGTCTCAAATGAAGAAAAACATCTGCAAATACATATTTGCTGTGTGTGTGTGGATTTTTTTGTAGATTGCTGGTCTTGAATAGCAGATTATTGTACTTCTGTGTATGATACCCTGTACAAGCACCAACTGATAATAGAAAAAATATTATCAGTGAAGAGTTTACAAAAATTCTCATTCGTATCAAAAGTGTCAAAGGTTGACCATTGAAAGATGTATCAATTGTAGAAACACACACACACAAAAAATGCAAATCCAAATGTTTAAAATTTCAAAAAATGGCCTGTTTTGAAATATCAAAACCCACTTTGCAAGAGGAATGTCTTCTTATTTTTCATTAAAAAAAACCCAAAAAACTCATGTTTTACTGAAAAACTCAGAACTGCCTTTAAAACAGAGCAAAATAATTTCCCTGAACTTTATCATACAACATTTAAAGACACAGTTACATTCTTTTCTAGTTCACTCATACAGAGAAATCTCTCTCTGTTATGCTACACTCTACAGAGGTAATACAAGAGTTAACCAGCATTACAATAAAGAGAAATCCAAACATACGTTTAACTACCATATTGTACCTCTGTAAAACCTTTACACAACACACCTCTGACAGGTGTGACATGAAGAAGAAACTCCTGTCCTAGTAGTTATGGGTAAAATATTGTCCTCAAACATTTCAAAAATTCATCAGAGGTGGAAGCTATCATCCTCAGGAGTCCGAGTATCTACGCTACCATGACAACTATCCTAGGATTCACATTAAGAATGGAAGACTTACATCACATGCACATCAAGTAAGCAAAATGTCCATTAAATTACAAAGTACTAATAAAAATGACAACTACGATTTACAACAACATTTCCTGTAGTCGGTACATATACATTTGCTTGATCTCCCTGCTTTATGTCATGCATGAAGTGAGAGCACTTGCTTTTGTCAGGTAAGTTAGGAAGAACAGGAAGAACAGACTTGATGCTGAAGAGTTTTTTGTCTTGTTAACCAAGCAACCGGTAAAAATGGGCACAATGAATATGTGCCAGCGAAGGTGTCATGTCATGTCAGCAAACTGATTTGTGTATGAAGAAACACTTGCTTAAAAAAGCTGCTTTTGATATTAGCTGGATTAGTCTTTTTGGAGGGTCCAGGAAAACATACTGTAACTGCTCATGCACCAGTGGAAGGCATTGCAGTTTGTTAAGACAATGTGAAAAGGCCTTTATACTGCAAAAATCATTTTCTTAATAAGCATTTTTGTTTGCCCCTACAGTTATTTAGACATTTTTTAAAAATATATTAAAATAGAAAACAGCTATTTTAAATAGTAATAATATTTCACAATATTACCATTTTTATTGTATATTTTTATCAAATAAATGCAACCTTGGTTAGACTTCTAAAAATATTTTTACAAATCTTACTGACTTACTGACCCAAACTTTTGAATGGTCTACCACACCTCATTACGAAAACGTACCTGTTGGAACTTTTTCGCAAGACGCGAAATACGTAACAATAAGTACGTATCACTGCAATTTCCAACAGAAATGAACACTAGAGACGGTAAAACATTGAGCACTTGTAATCGTTTTCGTACACAGTTATGATTACAGCTCCATATGGTTTGCTTTCCGAACGTAACAAGCTTGCTTGGTAGCTCAGCCGACACGCAATTGGACTTAAGATGCGGAATCCTTGGGTATGAATCCCATCAAAAACATGACTCACAATAAAAGAGTTGAAAGATGAGAGATCGAGAATGAGAGAAAACAAGCTACAGTAAAACAGCATACTTGCGATTGCATTTTTACGTCACATTCGTTTTTGTTCATACAATCGGGTAGGTTTAGGTGTAGTGCAGATGGTATGTTATTTTAAAACGTCACGGAGCATTAGACTTATAGCGCCACTCAACGGACATTTCAAGTCAGAACTGCGGTGACACCTACAAAACCAATGTCACATAAAACGTACCATATGTACGTTCATCTGTTCTGGGGGAAAAAAAACAAACACTCTTTTAGCGCCACTCAATGTCACGAAACGTACATGGTGGCACATATTTCGTGTCTTGCGAAAAAATTCCCGAAGGTACGTTTTCGTCATGAGATCAGGTTGCGAATGGTAGTGTATGTATATATGTATATATTTGAAGTTATGCTTTAAAAAATGCCCATGGGGATAGGATAAAAAATGTAAAAATCATAATAAATAAATAATATGCTCATTTTTTAAGAATATGTTGATAATTTTACTGTAAGAAAAAAATTAAGAAAATGGCATCTTGCAGTATATATGTCGTGACTAATTCGAAACATTCTAAATCAGAACTTGGGAGATTTGTAAAATCAGAAGACATATCGCATAAAAAAATAAGCCAGACCACAAAAAATGCTGGTGCATTTATCTGTAGGAAGAAGGTAGGGCAGAAACCTAAAGTGCTTTTTGTTGTATAAAGTTCTCGTATGTCATTCAGAAGAAACTACAGACATTTGTGTTGGAGTCCAACAGCATGTTTTAGAGTCAAAGTTGAGCTACTTCTGTATACACAAAAACGGTCCTGCCTCCATGCAGACCAAGCATTGTTGGCAGCACATCATGAGCATTAGCATCATTAGCTCTTTCATTCTGATGCTACGCATTTACGAAGTCCGATTCGTCAACAAACGGAAGTGACAAAGGCTGTCTGACCATTTGGGTTGACATTATCTTAATAAATAAAACCTGTTTTTCTAAGAAAAACATGGACGGTCTGCACGCCAAAACGATACAATGCTGTCACAATGCACAGTAACAGAAAATGGGCGATGTGACTGGGATTCAGTAAAACAGCTCATCTGGAAAATGTGTTGGCGTTTGGGATCCGGGCAGGGGACAAGCGTGCTGCTGGTGAGCCTCTGAGAGTGGGCGTCCCTGGTGCCGGAGAGGGGCCAGGAGAACAGGAGTGTGTGGGGGTCCCAGGACCCGGAGAGTAAGGGTAAGGAGGGATATCAGGGCCGGGGAAGAAGGCTCTGTGGATGGGAGAAGAGGAAGGAGACAGATGGGGACTCGTCTGGAGAAGCCAGAGCAGCTCTTCATTGTTGCGGCTCAGCCGTTTCTTCTCGTTGGTCTCCTTCTCCACATACTCCTGAAGGTTTGCGTTCTCCTCAGACAGTTGTCTATAAATATAGGAAGAAATAGTCAGGGTTAGTCAAAAGTCTGGCTATGCAAGACCTTAATTCACCCAAAAATGAAAATTTGCTTTAATTTACTAACCCTCAGGCCATCCAAGATGTAATTGAGTTTGTTTCTTCATCAGAACGGATTTGGAGAAATGTAGTATTAGATCACTTGCTCACTAATGGATCCTCTGCAGTGAATGGGTGCCGTCAGAATAAGAGTCCAAACAGCTGATAAAACATCCCAATAATCCAGATGTAATTCACACAACTCCATTCCATCAATTAACATCTTGTGAAGTGAAAAGCAAAGTGTTTGTAGAAAACAAATCCATCATTAAGGTGTTTTAATTTTAAATCGTCACTTCTGGCCAAAAAAATGAGTCCATAATCCATAATACTTCCGCAAAAAAAAAAAAAAAGAAACGCCCATGCCCTGTTGTCCACTCAATTTGTTTATAACTGTTTTTCCTTGATCTGTGCATATTTCTCTCCTGATTCAGACCAGACGACTTTTTCACTGGAAAAAGCCATATTATGGATAGAGGACTCATATTTTAGTATTTTGAATGATGGATTTGTTTCTAACAAACACTTAGCTTTTCACTTCACAAGTTTACTGATGAACTGGAGTCATGTGGATTAGTTATGGATTATTGTGATGTTTTTATCAGCTGCTTGGACTCTCATTCTGACGGCACCCATTCACTGCAGAGGATCCATCCAAGTTACGTAATGCTAAATTTCTCCAAATCTGTTCCAATGAGGAAACAAACTCATCATGGATGGCCTGAGGATGAGTCAATTTTCAGCTAATTTTAATTTTTAAGTGAACTACTCCTTTAATTCAAATACTGTATTTACCTTGAGACTGTGAGATGGCGATCAATGCGGGCCATCAGGTCTTCATTCTGCTGCTGAAGCACCTGGACCCGCTCCTCCAGATACAGGTTCTTTTGGGCCTGCTCGAAGAATCAAGTGAACACAGAGCTCGACATTAAATTCTTACACAAACCTCCCCTGTCTGGACAACAGGGGTCTGAAACGTGCTTCATGTGAGGAAAAAACTGAGAATTCATAAAAGCTGAAAGGAAAAGGGAAAAGCACGCCCTATTTCTACATCATAAATAATATAACATCCAAAGGAGCAGAAAGGAAAAAGTAAAACAAAACAAAAAAGTTTTAAAGTGGAAACTGATTCAATATCCAAATCATAAATAATGTACTATAACATTACAATAAAATGGACTTTCTAAACACAGTACAGAATATATACAAACATACATCATATACAGCACTCTTGAAGGACCCCAAGAGGTTTGTCATGCCTGTTCAGAAATGAATTAATCTCCTTCCTTTATTATTTATTATGGTGTGATCTTTTTGGATGTTTTAAGGGTTTGTAAAGTACTTGTATACAATATCTTTTGTTATTTGAGCTTCAGTAAGGAATGTAATGTGGCATGTCACTATAAAATCAAATCAATATTTTATCATAGAAATGAATGATTATTTAACATCCTGCACTATAAATATTCCCTTGTATTTTCTTTTTCTGGAGTCTTTTTCGTTTATGTGCACTGTTTTCTTTTATGCCGCAGTTTTTCTTTTACTTGCATGATTTTATTTTTTCCTGACACAATTTTTCATGTACAGTTTTTATATAATTTTTATATTTATTGTTTAATGTTTTCTTCTTTCTGCCAGTCGTTTTTTATTTATTTGCACAGTTTTTTTTTCTGCAGGTGTTTTTCTTTCACCTGCACTGTTTTCTTTTTTACTGCAGCAGTTTTTTTTTTCAGCACTATTTTTCTTTTTCACCGTGACAGTGTGGAGGGAAAACTCTGTCCTCTTCCGTTACTTTAAACCGCATACAGGAACACGCTAGACTGCACAATTCTCCTGCACAGTGTGTTTATCCTGCTCACCTATTCACTTGGAGCTTACCACTTTCTCCAGGTGACAGATCTTCTTCTCCTGGTCATGAATTTGCTGGTTCTTCATCTCCAAAACCTCCTTCAGACTCTTCAAGTCCTCCTCGATATGTTGATATGGCGCCAGCACATCCTGCAAATACATTTACAATACTTACTTTCAGTGTTTGTGTGCCTATATTCAAGTATCCCTTTCTAAATGTCTTAAAGAAACATACCACAATCTGTTCATCAGTGCTCTTCCTCAGAGCTTCTTCAAAACGCTTGGCTTTATCTTTCAGAGTCCGGTTCTGGAAAGTCAGAGTGTCCACTTGGTCCTAAAGGAAATGGTACTGTTACTGATGAATCTATTTGGATGATTTGCAAAAATCTCAAACCTTGATTTACTCAACAATCACCTGAAGCGAGAGGCGCAGTTTCTCAAAGTCCTCTTCTAGACTGGCCTTTTGCTGCTCATGGGCTTTCCTTAAGTCTAAGAGAAATGAATGCAGAATTTTAGTTCTTCTCCACATTTTGGTCAGCTGGTTAGTAGTGGTATTACTAATCAGACACTAACCCCTCATGGTCCTGGCATGCTCTTCTTGCAGTGTTGACATAGTGATGTTGTGCATGGTCTTCAGGTCTTCAAGGGCGGCCTCATGGTTGGCAGTCAACTCTTCAATCTAAACACAAAACACACAGTTGAGTCTTCAAATTCATGCCATCTTAAATTTATTTCCCCCGATCCTCAGCCAGACGATCTGACCTGTTCCTGGTGTTGTGTGCGCAGCTCCTCCACCTCTGATTGGTGCTCTGCTCTGAGATGGTCTCGGTCTGAAGCGTGCCGTAATCTCAGGTTCTCCTCTACGGTAGTGAGTTCAGACTCCTGCTGGACCTGTAACTCTCTCAGCTCCCTCTCAAAACACTCCTCCAGCTCTCTCTTCTCCTTCTGGAGACGCTCCCAGCGAGCTGCGTTAAAGGCTAGGCGATTTGAGAAACAGAGTATATGGATTTAAATAACGCAAACCTGCTTTTATCTTAGTAGTTTATGGGCACACATGAACCTCTTTGAACTCACCCACTTCATGTTGAATCCGACTGAGTTCCTGGGACAACTCTCTCTCCTTCTCCTCTGCACTTTCACTCTGAAATATACACGCGCAAAAAAATCACTCACAATTTAAAAAAATACTTAGATCCACTACTAACATCTCTCTCTCTCTGTCTCTACACACACACACACACACACACACACTTTATGGTGGGGATTTTTCATTCCATTTTGAATTGTATATTTATTTCGTAATGACACCACTACTAACAATCAAATGCAATATTAAAAATAGAAATAGACAATTTTTTATATCATGGTAGGGATTTTCCATTGAATTTTATATCTATTTCCTAATTGCAACCCCTTTGTTGCATTGAATTTTGATTATTTATGAATTATTTATTTCATAATTATTTCATAATTTTACAGATTATCATTATGTATATTTATTAAGCTGCTGTTTATTTCAGTCCTCCTGGCTTGCTTCTAAAATAAAATGATTTGGGGTTTTACCATTTTTGTAGGGACATTTGGTCCAAACAATATCAGGATAAACAACAAAAAAACATTTAGAAATTTATATTATGCCCAATTACTTCATGGTTTACGTGGTTTTACTAGTTAACAATTCTATAGTCAGTCACAACCATAAACAGTGAACCAATTTATCCTCACTCAAAAAAGTACTTGCTTTTTCAGTGCATACTTATTTTTGTAGTAACTAGTGTGGACTAGTAGTACTGCATACTGCATTTAGTATTACTTTCATGGCCTAAATAACATCAAATTATGAAAACATAGACATCTCTGTAAATGTAAGATGTAAGATGAAAAACAAAACAAAAAATGATGATGCAATGCTGCAGAAACATTATCACTTTTGTGTGCACAGAAAATGTACAGTATACAGTACCACCCTGATTATGAAAAGCACTTAGAAATAACACATGCACTATAGAAACTGATGAAATGTGGCTTGCTTCATGTTGGAGTCGGCAGGTGTGGGAGAAGTTGGCAGGTTACTGACATACCGCTTCTGTCTGTAAATGCTTTTACTGCTAAACAGTGAACAGGAGTGGATGTGGAGGAGAGGAATGCAATTAATATTAATGTAGTATGTGTGGGCATTAAGCTGGAACGTTGAGGAGAATAGGTTTTTAGATTTGGATGTACTGTATATTGTAAGCCATTGTGTTTCTGACCTCCACTGACCTCTTTAAATTTGTCTTGAGTTAGTATGCAAAGGCATTTCAGAAACAACTGTGCCTCTTTAAAGAGGTCATATGATGCGATTTCAATTTTTCCTTTCTCTTTGGAGTGTTACAAGCTCTTGGTGCATATCTTAAAGCCACTAATGGACAGCAGGGGGCACTGCACTTCTAAAAATGTAGCAGATACAATAACAGATGCTTTTATCCAAAGCGAATTACAAATATGGACAGCAACATTTGTGATTTATCCTAAGGAGACAGCGATATGCTTGAGATTCTGTGTGCAAACACTGACTCAACGGTCTGCTCTTGCACACAGTTACCTCGTCCTTACATTCATGACAGATTAGATAAAGGCTGTTATTTGTGTTTCGTTTTTGTTTTTTGTTGTTGTTTGTTCAGTTTCTAGCGGTTGAGGTACACTGTATGTGTCAGTTCAAGGAGGCAGTATGTCAGTAAACGGTAGTGAATGCCTTGTGGTTGAGGCTTTGGCACGGTAACACAAACATCTCATGTAGTGGTGACATGTGAAGGCCGTAAAATCACTGTGCCCTTGAGCAAATTATTTGATCGCAGGGTTTGTACCAGAAGGGATGTGGATGTAGTTAGTGTACTGTGAATCATGTTGGATAGAACGTACTGTATCAGTTGAAAAACTACAAATTTAGAAAAAAAGCATCTTTAGGATGATTAATTCTCAAAAATAATATAAAAGAAAATAATTGTTTTATTTGATACTTTATTTCATAGTTTTGATGACGTTTTTATGACTTTACTATGAATAATAAAATTAACAAAATAAAATATATATTTATTTCATAGTCTTGATGACTTTATTATGATTCCAAAATGTGTAAAGTAGTAATAAAGAATAAGCATGCACGTATAATAATATAATATAATATAATACATTTTTATGACTTTATGAACAGTGAAAATAATAAAATAGAATAAAATAAAATAACTGTTTTATTTCAGTTGTGATGATTTTTTATAATTCTAAAATGTGTAAAGTAAGAATAACAAATAAGTATGTGTTTCAATATATAATATAATATAATATAATATAATATAATGTGTTTATGACTTTGAATAATAAAATAAAATAGTTGTTTTATTTTACTGTTGTGATGATTTTTTCCTAAAATGTATAAAGTAATAATAATGAAAAAGTATGTTAATAAATAATATAATATTATATTATAAATGTTTTTATGACTTTGAATAATAAAATACAATAGTTGTTTTATTTCATAGTTTTGATGATTTTTTAAGATTCTAAAATGTGTAAAGTAATAATAATAATGAATGCGTATGTTTGGCCAAATACATTTTTAGCTGACTGTAATCTTAAAAAAAATACCTTGAAGGCGAAGTGCTGAGTGCAGACCACAAAGACCTCCAGACTCATGCTGGTTTTCTTTAGTTCTGTCTGAAGAGTCTGTAGTTGCCTGGCCTGTTCTTCACAGCGACCCTGCAAGAGCTGAATCTCTTCATTCCTCTCTATTTCCTCTCGCTCTTTTTCTTTCTTCTGCTCTTCTTCTTTTTGCTTCTCTGGGCCCGGAGAGCCAGTACGAGGCAAAATCTGCATGCTTGAGCCTCGGACCGCCACTGTTGCCCTCTGTTGCCTCTGAAGGACTAAAGAGGGAAACACGAGAGAAAAAGCACTAAAAAAATCAATTTCATTAAACTCATCTCAGAACGGCCCTGTGTGAATAAAATGGCCTTCAGAATGCTAAGACACCCCAGGGAGTCCTGCACGCTTAACAACCATGAAACAATTTACATAAAGCTTTACTATAATTTCTATACATAACTGGATTACTTGAATCCTCTATAAGTAAAGCAAAGGGACTATTCAAAGACTAGACTGTTTTTATTGTAATGTAAAATGAGGTATGTGACCCAAAGCTAATGCAACAGTGGCTAAACAAACCATAACAAATCTTATAGTTCAAATAAAATAATGGAAGAATTGTTACACTATTTACTTCAAATTCACAATGCATGGATTACAAAGGATGTATAGATTAGATACACCAAGACAGTTGAGGCCCTCATGGAAGTTACACTATCAGTTATCATGCTATATAGATAAAAAGTCAAGGATTTTACATTAATGAAATATAAACGCAAGACGTGTATCTTAATGTGCTTCAAGATGAGCAAGCAACCCAAAACACTCATGCTAATGCTAATAGCTGCTAATGTTTTGTTCTTACTGCAGCTGTGTGTTAGCATTCATTTCATGATGAATTTGATAAGCACATTGGGCCAGATGGAATGACAGGATGATTTACAGCTATCATTACTGTAGAAACTAATCTTCAGAAGAATGACTGAATGATTCAGAGCTGCTAATTGCTATGATGGAGTCATTGTTGTCCTCGGTGTTGAGTGTGAAAGCAATTTGTTGTAAATGGCAAGCAACAAATTTTTTTCAGTGGCCTTTACTGACGTATTAGGTATTGAATTAACCTCTGTATACATCTTTGCAAGCTATAGCTTTCCTATGTACAGTGGAGATAGCATACTGTATAGGAATGTGGAGATACACTAGCATTCAAAGGTTTGAATTAACCTTGATTAACAAAACAGCTCCTGTACTAAACCTACATTAATTTAAATGAACTTTTTATTAGTGCTGTCAAAATTAGCGCGTTAATGCAGCTGATTAATTTCTCCAGTTTAACGGTGTTAAAAATATTTAACGCAGGGGCGGAGCTAGGGTTGGACATCCCACTCACAACTGCTGCTTTTGTCTCTTTTTTATTGACAAGAATTGCGTAGAATATCTTTATGATCACATCAAACATTTCACATCAACTTTTCATTCAGATTTTTCAGACGCGCACTCCACTTTGCCTCAGCGACAGGCGCTAGTCTGCTAGTCAAGCGCGGAAACAGTACAGGTGACGAGGAGCATCAGTAGAACAACAGTGAACTGCGGTCAGATGAGATTTTGTCATGCCATATGTCAGTAAAAACGGATTTTCCTGTCCTGTCAGCCGGTACATTGAGCTCATAGCACGTGCTCTTCAATTGCACGCACAAATATGGCGGCACGGCGCGCGCTGTAGCCTGTATCATTTCATATTAAAGCGCATATGAAACTACGAGCATGCGTGTCAAATCCGTATCACATTCAGCAGCTCTTAAAGTAATAGCAGCCAAATAACCTAATAACCCTGCTGCTGTGATGTCTGTTAATTAAAGAACAAAAGAAAAAAGAGGAAATCAATAACTGTTGTAGCTTTAAGGATTCATCTATATTTAATATAGAATTTATTGTTTGATAACTTTATTCAATTTCTGTATATTTCCTACTTGCAGAAGGGCACGGGTAAATATGACATTTATTATAATGGGTTTATGTGAAGATTGTTTTAAGTTCAATTCAATTTTTTAAAATTTTTTTTTTTAGTCTAATACATTTTAAAATTGATATCTCTCAATTATACTGTAATGTTGAATGGCTAGAGTCAATGGGTAAATATTCAGAAAAAAAACAATGTCCTAGAGACATCAGTAGTATTGGTATCAGTGATACTCGCCTTCAGTCATACAAAACGATTAAACATATTAAAAATATACTGTCTTTATGTTGTTTCTACATTAACTTAAAGAATGAATGTGAAATTATTGCAGTATTTTTAAAAAACTTTAGTGTTACGTGGGATTAATTAGTTATTTTTTTAATTGATTGACAGCACTAATTTTTATTCATCACACTGACTCAAGACAATCCAGTCCACCACACACATACACATACACAAACCAACCACCAGCCTTCTAGAGTGGCTTAATCTTTAGCCTGAGAATCAGTCTCTATGACAACAAAGAGAAAATTTGCTTTTTCAGGAAGCAAGGTGGGCGAAACTGATGTTAGGTAGTCGATTCCCTGCTCATCAGAAATACAACGACAACAAGAGGGCAAGATGCATTCTGAAGCCTCCTAGCACTGTATGTTTACATTTTTCTAGACACCCAACATTTTCTTTTAATGTCCTTCAGGAGAATTCAAGCTTTAATGAGGGTGTCTGACCCCCTAAAACCCATAATTTGCACCCTAGGGCGGTAGATTGGGCAACTGAATACTAAGTATTATTTCAATTAATTCAACATGACAACTGAACTTGGCCCTAGTGGCCACGCTGATTACGTCTTATAAGAAGTTCTCACTCATTCTATGTTTGTGTGTGTGTATGGAGAGAAAAATAAAGTGGGTTACAGTGGAGATATGAGCTTCAGATGAGATTTATCCAACAGTGTGACATCATCTAATGGAGAGCAGCAGGGGACAGCTATGAAAGAAAAGCAATATCTTGGGTTGATCTTTGTTCTGGTTGGTTACCTGGAGACTGCGGTTTAGGAGACACTACAGCGAGTCTCTTAGGGGAGGAGAGAGATGAACAGGTGCCGTCAGAACTCTTCTGGAATTCCTTACGGGATGCTATGGATAAAGAAAAGACATCGGTACAAGAGTTAAGGGCAGTGCTCAGGAGGTTACCTGAATTAAAGGATATTCGCTCAGGGAACACATACAGGGCACAGGAGTGCAAATCCATGAATGCGTTACCAACAGTAACCACCACCCCCTTTTCCGTCTCTTTTCGTATCGCTTTCCTCTTCCACGGAGTCATAATATGGTCTCAGCGGTCCGTGGATCAATTCCAATAAGAGGCAGCCAACCACAAAATAACACAGCTGCTAGGGTCCGCTTGCCACACGGGCTGGACGATATGACATTCTGAGAGGCTGCAGGCATCCGTGGACCAGAGCATACAGCATAAATATATTAAAAAAAAAAAAAAATAATAAAAAGAAATAACTTCCATCTCACAAATCTCAGATCTGTTGTCAGAGCAGGACAATAGAAAAGAGAATAGTTCTAGAAATAACCCTGATGTACATAATAATATAAAATGGAGAAATATTACTATATTTACACTGTAAATTACATTTTTTAACTTAATTTGAAAAAATCTTGCAAAATTATTGCCTCAGAAAAATCTAGTTAATGTTACTTGGTATATTCAATAGTTCATAAATTGGCTTCTTAGTAAACTTGAATATATTGCACAACCTTAACTAGATTTTTCTGAGGCAATAATTTTGCAAGATTTTTTCAAGTAATGTTAACATTGAAATTTAATATAATAAATAAATTGTAATATATGCACATGCTCTCTCTCTCTCTCTCTCTCTATATATATATATAATACATATATATTTCTATTCATCAATGAATCCTGAAAAAAATATCATTTTTGATCAGTGTTTTTTTAATATATAATTTAATTTAATCTTAATTTAATTCTCAGTATCTCCCCTATAAGACCCCATTGTTAAAGCATACCTTATTAAATTATTCAAGCACAGGGGCTTATGGGTATTCCCACTTTATGATCACTTAATGTAGCCTGATCTGGTTATTTATTTTATTTTTACAGTAATTTGTTGAGTTATGACAGAAAGTGCACTAACAGACACAGCTTTTACAATACAAGTATAAATATTGTATATATCCTCATAACAAATTAATTACTATATTATTATTTTACCGTCTCTGTAATATCACCCGAACAGATATGAAGACACAGACGCTGCCTATGGGATTACAGGAAATGATTGAAGATGCTGCTGGGATTGGAGCTTGTTTCAAATCTCCCATCTCACAACAGAAGGGGGTGCGTATGTTTTTGGGGTTGCTGCTTTTGGCTTACTTTCACCCAACAGAGCACACACACAAACATCACATTGCAACAGGGGTCCCAGGGCACCTAATTACTGCCAGCTCATTTCGACATGTAGCAGAGAGCCACAGACACCCCTCTAGAATCCCAATGGACTCCCTCCTCCCTAGGACCCCACTGCCCCCCCCATGCTGAGACAGCACCTACGGCATCAAACACCGGTGCATCATGGGTGGGTGCACGCATGTGAAGATGTTTGACTCAAGTATGGCGGTCTAAAGCCACTGTGTTATAAATTCTGTTTCCTTAGATCCATGTGAGTAATTCGACAGCTGGACAGGGTCTCTGAACTGTTTTTCAACAGCAGGGTCTCATGAATTTTGTCATTGTGCTAACCCTAGATCGGTAGTCCGTGATGGGCCAGCTACCCCTGGCAGCCGTTTTGTCCCTCCAGGGTACTGGAGATTTTGTCAGGATGACAAAGAGGGGAGCAGCAAGCAAAGATATAAACTCTCAGAGCTGTGGTTAAGGATCAGCAAATGTGGCATTGAAAATGGGACAGAACAGATAACAACACTAGAGAGGGGGACAGGTTGAAAAAAAGAGAAGGATGAGGAGGAAAGAAGATAAACAGGGCATCTTAATAGCCTCATTATCGTTTAGGCAGGGGGAAAATGATTGGTTAAATGGGCACAGACGAGCTCTGATTGGACAGGCTCTTCTGTAATGTCACCAACATGCACAATGGTTCATCACTTGCTTTAATCGGATGATTGCTTCTTAATGATCGGCCTAACTGAGCTGAGATAAATAAGCGATTTTAAGCAAGTGTATGAAATTCAGCTAGTATGCACTGTAATGAGTATTTACTACAAGAATTATGCTTTAAACAAGATAAATTCCACCAGAATGCACTACAGCTAGAGTGATCTTTAACCTACAACAATCATGTTTAAACAAATACACTACAAAAGGTTTGCACTACTAGAAGTATTTTTTTCAACTAGTATGCATTACACAAATACGTAGCTAGCATACACCATAAGAATGAGCTAGATTACATTACACGTCTCTCCAGTAAGCATGCACTACAATATGTATCCACCCCAAGTGTGCACTATAAAACATTTGGACTTCAGCTAGTATGTAATTCAATAATAATGCACAATGAGTATGAAATTGAACTAGCATTAGCATATTCATTCAGCATGTACTTCTATGAGTATGTGCTACAAGAAGTATGCTTTAAACAAGTCCAGCAGAAAACACTTCAACTACTGTGATCTTCAACCAGTATTACAACATGCATGTGTTTCAACAAGTACATACTATAAAAGGTATACACTACTATAAGTATGCACTTCAAATAGTATGCACTATAAAAAAGTATGTGCTTCAATAAGTGTGCACAGCACACAAAGTAGACAAGCCTCTTTCCCAGTGCTGGTCTTAAGATGAATGACATGGTCCATGGTCTGGATGGCCTACTTCCTGAGAAAGGGTGTTTCTTCTCAAGGCAAAGTCTACATTTCAGTCTTGACTAAACATAGGCTACAACGTTCCCCCAACAGGACTGTCCCATTATTCACACATGCAGAGGAGATTAATGACTCGGTAGAGGACATGGACAGGGAGGTAGTGCTGTTTACTTATGCCTGACAAGTACGCTCTCAGCTGTGTGTCGGTGCATCAGTGGAGGTCTGCCTTCAAACTGGAGCCGCTGTCTGAGAATTCATGATGACATTTGACAGGTCACTTCTGGCACTAGAGAAAGCATGCAACCTCTGTATTTCGGTGCACTAATTGTAGTGCATTCTGTTGGAATGAATCATGTTTAGAGCATACTTCTTGTAGTGCATACTCACTGAAATGCATGCTAGCAGAATTTCATATCCATTATAGCGCATTCTTGAACTACATACTGGCATACTAAGTCCATACGTGTGCATACTTATCAGAAAGCACCGTATATATATATATATATATATATATAAATAATAGTGTACACTAGCTGAAGTACATATTTGTGTAATGCATACTAGCTGAAACAAATACTTTCTAGCATTGCAAACCTCTTGAAACACAAGCTTCTTGTAGTACTGGTTGAAGATCACATTGTATTCTAATGCAGTTAGTTTTGCTTAGGGCATACTTCTTGTAGTGCATACTTGTTGAAGTGCACATTGGCTGGAAATATGAAGGTTTGGTCCACTTACCCACGGGGGAGCTTCGAGGAGGGGGCAGCAGGGAGCGGCGTGTGGGTGCAGGGGGGTTGGGGGGTTGAGGGGTGCTACGGCACGGTGCTCTGGATCCATCTCCAGGAGGTGACGTGGTGACACGGTGAAGCGGTGGCGGCTCATCACTTACACTGTTGGGACCTGAAAATAATCAAAAAAGAACCAAACTTGATTACCAAAAATACAGCACATCCACACAAATCAATGTAATTTCGCTTTGAAAATCTCTGAAAGTGGACTTTTATGTTCGTCCGTTGAATTGCATTTAATTCATTACGCATTACACAGTAGTCTAGACACTGAATACTGCAGGTCATTGTCTAGTTCCCTGATTTACTGTGAATGCTAAATCAGACTGCGCTCATCAGGTTTCTATCTGAGTACATTATTCATCATCTGTGGTGGATGAGAATTCATCTAACTGCTCATTAACCCCACAACTGAACCCAGACCAGCCGTTCTTCCCACTCAGTCTTGATCAATAACCGCAGCCCGGCTCGATAAGACCAAACTCTGCAATAAAATGAGAATTTCTTGCCATGTAAAAGAAAAAAACCCAAGATATAGCATCTATTCAACGAGCCATAACCGATTTCACAAATCACACAGGTACTTTTATATAACGGGTCCTTTGAAAGACACTTTCCTCTCTACTTTAGCTTACTTTCAGACTGTAAGGCGACACCATTCTCGGGAGCCTGTATAGAACGCTGCTCTGCCGCTGTTATCGCTCTGATTTATGAAGTGCTGAGAGAGGATTCCACGAACAGAAAAGAGCAGACAGATGCAGAAATGCTGACAGTACACTGTCATAAGTGCTTTTAAATACCATATTTTATAACTCCCATGTAACCTAAGGAGACATTTGGAGACAGCAGACAACAACTGCCATTAATTCAAAGAGATTTTGTTAGCATGAAATATATAGCCTTTCCAAGGGCATTAAACACAGCTACACTAACAGAATCACTTATTCTCATTTGTGGTAAGACTATAATGTGGTAAATGCAGTTTGAGGGTGATCTGATAAGGGTAAAGATCTGGGATGAAGTTTTGGCTGCAGAGATGGAGCTTCGGAAACAGTAGGAAGTGCTATGCAGCCCTCCAGCTCTCGCAGCAGGAGATGTTAAGGTGCAGAGCAGCTGAGAGATGCGCTTGATTGGCTGCTGGGAAATAAACCTCACTGCTCATTGGTGGATTCTTTTCCAAATCTCTGTGAGAACCAGTTAACTGCCTGCATTGTGAGGAACTGGGTTAGTAGCACAGAGACTCAATCCTTAAGATTTTTTCCAGTTTCATCAGCACTCCGGATTTACATAATCACCCAAATGATGGGAGCATAACACTTGTGTGGGTTGGATCACATTGCGCACCTAAAATATCTACAGTTAAAAGTCTGTAGAAAGCGTCACATTCTATGTATCACTTTAATGAACAAGATATAAAATTTGGTTTTAAATTTAGTAATAAACATTTATTAATTAATTAAAATAAATATGAAAAAACAATAAAAACTTAAAAATATATTTATCTAAATATATTTATATTAAACGTTGCAACTCTATTACAAAATTTGGAAAAATTATGCGATTTTGTTATTTTTCAGAAATGAGCATTAAATAAACATTATATTTAAATTAAATAACATTGCTTGCATACAAAAATAAATAAATAACTAAATAAAATTAATAAAAGTAAATAATTAAATTTAAAAAAAAATAACAGGTTGCAAGGTTTAGCCTAAAATAATAGTTTATATGTCCTATAAATTACAAATAAAATAAAATAAAATACATTAAAATCTCTCAATAACTTTGGTAACATGTCTGAGTTTGATAAATGCAGTAAACAGTAAAACAAAAGTTTTATTTAAATTTAGAAATATATTCTCTGAATGTTTAAAATTCTGTCTGTGACATATATAACTGGCATATATAACATTGTAGTGACACAGCATTACAGGATTTACATTCTGATTTACGACGTTAAGGGATTTAGCTTATGTCTCTCTCTCTCTAGTTCACTGAACATTTCCATTCACACATGCGAAAGACTTTTTGCATACTGCACCCAACTATTATCTGCAGGTGTGCTTATATCATTATGCATTTCTAGTTTTGACTAATATGTTTTTAATTAAGGGAAATCTCAAATGAATTTGATTTAAATGTTTGTTTACTTTAGCAAAAATACAATTGGCCAGTAAACACTGGCAAACATGGAATAAATGGACTAAGATCACATTAGTTTTTCTTAAAAAAAGAAATACAAGCTTTATAAAATAAAAAGCCAAACACACTGTACACACACAGATTTAAGGCCCAGGAAATACAGTGAAGCCATTCACACATGCTGAATTTAAAATGCTGCTGACATTTGGATCATAATGAAGACAAATTCTCGGGCAACATGAGTAATAAAAAAATACAATTCAGTTTGAGCTGAATAATTGATCATACAATGCACCAGAAGAGAATGCAAAAATAATAGAAGACTAATTTAATGCAGTGCTGGTGTGGAAAAAATTAGCTTGTGAGGCAGGCAGAACCAAACAATCAGCACTTCTTCTTTGGTCTTCTGGACAGTAGAGACATATGTAATGTGACAGGACAAGAAAGCAAAGAAAGTATTTTAGAAGAGATGGAGGAAAACATTATGTCGGTAAGGAGGAGAGGATAGGAATGCACTCCACGTTGGGCGCCACTATTAGAGAAATAAATGATAGGCTGGGGAGGAGATAAAAGAAGGGCTAGTTGTTTAAATCACTGCTGACAAGACCACTAGAGAGAAAAGGAGAGAGAGACAGAAATAGAAGTGAAAATAGAAAGCAAAGGGATGCAAGGAGAATGACAATATCTGGGAGGCAGGAGCTCACCTCAAGCATAAGGATTGGAATGGCTTATAAAATGACAGAGGAAATGTTATGGGAGCAGATGTTATTCCAGCACAGAAGGTTATTTCCCATCTAGCAACATTTAGATGGCACAGAGAGAGAATCAGAATGAAAAATCAGGCCCGGTGAACACAGCAGTGACCCATTAAGTGATGGAGCTTGCAATGCATTATTAAGCACAGAGCATCAGATGTGCTCCTGAGGATGTCGGGAAGTAAACATTATGCAAATCCAACTCACAGCGACACGTCAGGACAGCTGCCACTTCAGTAATAATACCATAAGGACCTGAGAAATACTGACTCACTGCACAGCACTGCTTGCACAAAGTGGACAGATGGACCAAAAAAACAAAAAAAACAAATAACTATTTTTTGAATAGTGTGCACTAAAACATTTAGAAATTATGCAATGTGGACTAGGTAGTGTACTATACCTACAGTAGTAGAGTACTAGCACAAAAAGTAGTGTGCAGTAGGACATTAGGTTGTGTGCACTGTATTGTAATATGGTGTGAGTGTACAAAGTATTGTGTACTAAAACACTAGCATATTAAGTAGTGTGCTATACATAGCACAGCACTAGTACAAAAGTAGTGTGCAGCAGGGCATTAGGTAGTGTGCACTAGATAATTAAAAAGAGTAAGAAATCACAAACTTACGTGCAGTATGCACTAGATAGTGTGATACAAAACTAGTACATTACAGTACTAGTTTTGTAGTAAAGTACTGAAGTAAGTATTGAACACGAAAACTCTATACAAAACTCTAATAGTATAGTGTGCACTAGTAGCGTACTGTTCACAAACTTGTTTCCATTACAAAAGTACCATTATGATGTAGTGTGCACTAGATAGTGAGTGGACAGATGGACCAAAACAAAACAAAAAAACAAATAACTATTTTTTGAATAGTGTGCACTAAAACATTTAGAAATTATGCAATGTGGACTAGGTAGTGTACTATACCTACAGTAGTAGAGTACTAGCACAAAAAGTAGTGTGCAGTAGGACATTAGGTTGTGTGCACTGTATTGTAATATGGTGTGAGTGTACAAAGTATTGTGTACTAAAACACTAGCATATTAAGTAGTGTGCTATACATAGCACAGCACTAGTACAAAAGTAGTGTGCAGCAGGGCATTAGGTAGTGTGCACTAGATAATTAAAAAGAGTAAGAAATCAAAAACTTACGTGCAGTATGCACTAGATAGTGTGATACAAAACTAGTACATTACAGTACTAGTTTTGTAGTAAAGTACTGAAGTAAGTATTGAACACGAAAACTCTATACAAAACTCTAATAGTATAGTGTGCACTAGTAGCGTACTGTTCACAAACTTGTTTCCATTACAAAAGTACCATTATGATGTAGTGTGCACTAGATAGTGTACTACAAGTACCAGTACACTAGGTGGTGCACACAGGAAATTGCATAATCTGCACTAAGTACTGTAGTACAGTGTGAATGCACTAACTATTGTGCACTAAAACAAGAATATTAGGTAGTGTGCTCTATGTAATACAATACTAATACACAAAATGTAGTGTGCACTAGGTATTATAGTGTGCACTAGGTAGCATAGTGTTCACAAACTTGTTTGCATTAAAAAAGGACCATTATGATGTAGTGTGCACTAGATAGTATACTACAAGTACCAGTACACTGTGTGGTGTGCACACAGGAAATTACATAATGTGCACTAATTATTGTAGAACATTGTGAATACACAAAGTATTGTGCACTAAAACACAAGCATATTAGGTAGTGTGCTCTATGTAATACAGTACTAATACACAAAATGTAGTGTGCACTAGGTGGCATAGTGTGCACTGGGTAGCGTAATGTTCACAAACTTGTATGCATTAAAAAGTACCATTATTACTAGATAGTGTACTACACGTACTAGTAAACTGGGTAGTGTGCACACAAGAAATTACATGATGTGCATATAAAGTACTGTAGTACAGTGCGAATGCACAAAGTATTGTGCACTAAAACACAAGCATATTGGGTAGTGTGCTCTACGTAATACAGTATTAATTCACAAAATGTAGTGTGCACTAGGTAGTGTAGTGTTCACAAGGCATAAGAAGACAATGTAATGTGCACTTAGTAGTGTAGTATGGTGTAAGTGCACAAAGTATTGTGCACTAAAACACAAGCATATTAGGTAGTGTGCTCTATGTAATACAGTACTAATACACAAAATGTAGTGCGCACTAGGTAGCGTAATGTTCACAAAGTTG